AAGCCCTGAAAATTTGCAGAATATCTATTTTGTCCACTATTAAGTTGGTAAACAATAGTGATCGCAATGAACAAGTCGTCATGTGACAGCACTCAATCAAGTTCAGTCTGCAACTGTTGGTTTCTTCCCATTGTGTTCATAAATCTAGTCTTTTTTTTATCCACCACTCACAAGCACAGAAGAAACCTAAATTCATCTGGAGAATGTGGGCATCGATCCCACTACCTCTCACATGCTAAGCAAGGACGCTACCGTTTAAGCTAATTCCCCTCTGCAGAAAGCCTGTGGGTAGAATCGGCATAGCTCGTCTCCTCCTCCCCTCTACATAACGCTTTTCTACACTTTCCAGGCCCATGAAAAAACGCTAGAAGGTCGCCTGGAACGAAATTTTGCCATAAATTGCATGACACAGAAGACGAATCCTTGTTAGCTTTTCTTTGTCCTTTTGTTTCTTTTTCTGGACTTTTAGGTGCTCTGGAGTGGTATCTTTATTTGATATTTATCTTCAATTTAACACTTTTGCCTCCAGATTACTAGCATAAATATCCCGAAAAACTGAAGATATTGCAGTTCGTAAATGACCCACTATGGTCCGTGATTTGGCTTAATTTACGCTCTCTGAATAATTCAGTAGATATAACTGCTGAATGAAACTTTCTTTTTTCACATTATCTCTGTTGTTAGCTTTTAATTAAAGTTCGATGAAAGAGAAGAACAGCCAAAGGTCTCTGTAAGTTCCCACTTATTGAGTTATGTTATTTCATGAAAAATAGCAAATCAGGGGTTTTATTGGAATTTAAATCTAAATGAAAAGAATGACAATGAAATACCTGAAGGACTAAAAGCAACGACGATGATGACCATTTCCTGTTAGTGTAAATTAACAGCAGAACTGTGGTGTGCTCCACTCACACTGGTTTCCTATTTGTCCTGAGCTGAAACATAAGCACTGCCCTTCACATTATTGGTGAAAGAAGGCCCGGTGGGGGTCAGAGGTCACGGCTATTTATTACTGAATTAAAAGGAAGCCTGTGTGTTTTTTCAGATGCGTGCAGGAAGTCTCGCTGTACATTCCCACACTAACCCGCTGTGTGTTTAGACCGAGGGGTCACCACGGGACCCGAACTCTCCTGGACCAGAAGAGCGGAGGCGTCCTCACGTTCTGATCTGGATCTGCCACAAAGATCCAGATCAACGAGTGACTCTCAACTCTGCACGAGAAGAGCTTTGGTAAAAGTTCTCTCAATGATGCTGCAGATTTGCTGTTTACCCGAATGAATATTAATCTCAGGGTGGTCATCGGCAGGAAACATTTTATCCTGTTCTGTTTAATATGTATTTATATCACAATTATGAAAAAGAAAAATTAAATGTATCCATTTATATATCGTTTGTTTCTAAAACTCATAAATAGCTCAGTATCGGCCTCAATATCCAGTATCAACCGTACCTTTATGTCAGTGTAGCCGCAAGGGTCTGACCGATGTAAACACCCAACAGAGTAGAAACAGAGGGCTGCACCCTGCTGTCCACTTTCACATGGTACATTCCAAAGTACACCCAGGACGTGACCTCTTCGGCCCCCGCACTCTCGGAGGGTGAGGAGGGTCTCAGGTTGGGGTCACATGAGGTCATGTGCCTCATGCTGCCAGTGAAGACACACTCTAATGCGTCAGTTCACCTCACTGCAGCAAATGACTTTTTTCACCCACATGTGGGGAGGACACATGCACATTCCTCTCACAGGAGTTATGAAAAACTGCAACCTGCTAAGTAGAGCCTGTTCAGCTGAGCTGAGTGTTTTTATTTGTGAATATACTATATAGAATAGAATATATGCTATGTACACATGCCATCACATCACATTAATCCTGGTTTATTTTATGTATGTACATATATTCATTTATTTTATTTATATATGTATGGTTTATTTATATACTGGTCAGTTTGTAGACTGGAACACAACGTTTGCAGACGTCCTTTTTCAGACCGGAGGGTTAGATTCACCGACAGGTTCCCGGCAGAGGGTGCTGTTCTCGGGCTGGGAGTGTGTTTCCAGGCCTCGGCCCCCGGCAGCAGCTCGGGTTACCGAAGCACTCGGAGAATCTGAGGCGTGGGGGTCAAACTCTCCCTCTGCAATATACTGCGCCCTCTGTGTCTCTGCCTCGAAGCCCTTGAGCAGGTGTAACAGCTGAGAGGAGAGCAGAGGAGGGCAACTGCTGCCTCCACCACCATCATGGGATCAGTTCAGAGAGAAATCCTCTCTGGAACAACTGTCTACTACAGAGTCAAATATGGCTTCACTAAATCAATGACTGCTGTTTATATAAAACCTCAGTCGGTGTTTTTCACACATTCAACGCTGCTTTGACTCAGACAAGATTTAAAGTGTCAGTTCTTTCAAGTGACACAAAAAACATCTTAGTCCTCGTGGTGTTTAAGAACTCTTCATGTGTCCATTTAATCGCTGTTCTTCCCTTTAGTCTCAGGTTATTAAGTCTCTGTCCGATTGGTCTGTGGTCCTACGCTTCAAACTATAACACTCAACAGCGAGGCTCTGAAAGAGAAAATCCTGTTCATATTCTGAATGGAGCATTATGATTATTAGCCATAACATTACAACAACAACATTATGACTTCACTGTGAGATTGTGAAATAATGCTGTCGAAGCTACAGGAGCGTCTGGCGCTCTATCACAGCCAGAGCAGCAGAAAGGGGCTTTTTCCACACCAGAAGTATTTCCCACTGGACCCAGTGCTGAGTAAATGTCTTTGTTTTAATGGGAGTCACTCAGCAGGACGGGCTCAACGCCACATCCCACATCCACCACAAACACAAACCCATAACAGCTGTTTTAATGTCCTCTGCAGGATTCCATCTGTGGACTTGGAGTGGGACTCTAGTCCTGTTTAAAATCTTATTTTCAAAGAAAAAAAAAGTTTAATTCACAAGAGGAGTAGCCTGCCATAAAAAGTCTACACAGGAAGTGACAGATAAAAAAACAGCAGTGAGCAAACACGCCATCTGCAAAAAGCTGGAATCACCAACTGTTCATATTTTCCTCTCTCAGTTGATATAAAGCATCAGAAACTGGCCTCAAAGCGTTCCTCAAGAATCACATTCAAGCTTTACTTCCTGTTGTCATTTGGGCCGACCTCAGACTACACACCTGTGTTCAAAGGATCCCTTACGTGATGTAAGTCATCAATTCTGGTAAGAGAATCTCCTTCCTAACCCACACGAAGTCACAGGTGGAGCAGCAGGTGCGGATCAGCTGGTTGTGAAACCGTCTCAGTCTAGTCCTGATCCTCTATATGAACCAGTCTCAGTGTAGTCCTGATCCTCTATCAGACCTCCATCAGTACAGAGAACATCAGAGAGAAGATGGTCTGTTTCTATAGAGTTATTCTTAATGCTCATCATCGAAGCCACCGGGTCAGATTCTGGTGAAACCAGATGAACTCATGCAGGTTCACCAGAACCTCCTTCAGCTCAGACTCCAGCAGAGACCGGTCCACCGTGGAAAGTTTTCAGATTCATTCATTTAAATTATCATCTAACAAAATCTAACAAATCTATGATTCTGTGACTCCCCATGTCGTTCTGATATATTTCTCTGGTTTTCTTCTGTCACATAACTAGGAGTGTAAAAACTATGTCAAATTATTCCAAGGGACATAAGTGGGCTAGTCTGTTTATATTCTCTAGTATCTTATAAAGGATGGTAACTAGTGCATGGTTATGGGTGTATTAATAGAGCCGGATACAGAAAAGCATATTCCTCATATATCATGAAAGACACCTAGAATGGCACACAAAGTCGGAGAGAAGTCTTTGTGAGATACATTTTTAAATCATGGAGATGTAATACCTTTTTTTCCTAAGGCCCTGTTAAAGCTATTTTTATGTGCCTGACATCTTCTTAATGTAAAGTTTATGAGACCAGAGTGTGCATTGAGCCGCACAATGAGGACGACAGCCAGGAAGTGATAAAGCTTCTTTGTTGCAGATGCCGGGTGAGCGCCATTCACTGGATTGAACAGGCAGCCTGTCGTGGATGTACAAAACAAACTGGATACAGCGTCGGAGGCGGAGTGCTCAGTGGCGCGTGAAGCAAGAAAAGTTTGATAACTCTTACGTCGAACTTCCACATCCAGAGGGGAGCGAACTAGCGTTTCCTTTAGCCCCGCCTCCTAATGATTTTTAAAAAGTGCTATTCAAGTGTTAGTAGAGGGGAAATTCAAGGCTTCAAAAGAACAGACATCCAATGGGTGACGTCACAACGACCACGTCCACTTCCTACATACAGTCTGTGGTTTGGCCACGATGTCAGATGTGCTTCCAAGCTTGTTGCTCTTACTGGAGGCTTTGGCCAAATCCACTAAGGACACTACTTCCTGTACTAGCCTTGAACATTGACATTGTACATTAACAACATACAGCAGAATCGTTCAGCATCAACATTATGAGCGTTATAAGACTAGACTGGTATTCGTGATGCTTTTTAAAAACTCAGCTCCATCCAGCTGAAACCGACCCACAGAGTGTGAGACACCGTTCTGTCTGTTGCCTCAAACAATCAGTGAGAATAATGTAGTTTGGCCCGGCTGTAAATAGTCCGTGGATATGCTGCAGCTTGGCATGCCAGCCCTGCCCAACGCCCCTCCCATGTTGCACTGGTATGCAAACAGCTGCCCAGCCATGACTCTGCACACCCAGGCCCCCGTGGGCCCTCCAGCCTTAGGGAGACGTTTAAACTTTAAAGGGCCAAACTGGACAGCTGGGTGAGTTCATGCAGCGTGGGAGTGTATATGCATCCTGTTGCTCATCCATTTAACCACTAGACTCACTCGTCACACACAACAAGGACTAAAGGACCTGAGGAGCTTCCTAACTTATTCATTCAGTTTTGACACACAGCTATCGTCTAAATAAGATCAAAACCTAGAGGATATTTTATCTTCAAGCCTCCACAGTTTCTCCTTGAGTTGTGTTCAACATGGGAGCATTTATTGCCAAGATGCTGCTTCCGACGGTCAGCAGCCTGGTGTTTCTGCCGACGGCCAGCGTGGCGGCCAAGAGGGGCTTCCATATGGAGGCCATGGTCTACTTCTTCACCATGTTCTTCACGGCGGTGAGCTTCTGGTTCTGTCTTCATGTGACAGGCTGAAACCTGTAGAGAAACTTGGGCGATGGACCGAGCAGTGTACAGTAGCTGAGTGCTTTCATGTTTTAAAAAAATTGCTCATATGAAGTTTTCCATGTTTTCTTTTTGCTGTTCAACTCACCGGTACGATATTCGATCAATACAAGTATCAAGAAATAATCTATATCTGAGAGACTTCAATCAGAGGTAAGGTTGGGGTTAGCGCGCTCTCCAGATTTCAGACTTCTCGGAGTTAATTAAACTGAAATATTGCCACGATCTCTCTAAATAATTACACATTCAGATGTTTTGTGCGTCACTCTGCGCTGATAACAAAAGAGAGAGGAGACAACAGATGTTCTGGACTGAAAGGGTAACAAATGGAAGTTAATTGAATTCAATAGTTGTATCCAGCACATTTATTTTATTCCAAAGGCTGATCTATTTATGAACCGGTTAAATAACGTCTTGAACAAACCATTCACCTCCTTGATGCTGCGTCTGTGTGACTTGAACTTGTGTGTCTCTCTGTAGATCTACCACGCGTGTGACGGACCAGGACTCTCCATCCTGTGTTTCATGAGGTATGACGTCCTGGAGTACTTCAGCGTCTACGGCACAGCTCTCTCCATGTGGGTCACACTGATCGGTAAGTCCTGCTGGAGTACCAGTCAGTCCATAATCATGACATGAGCTTGAGAGAGCCAGCGCCAGTATCGCTGCCAGGCCTCCCTCCCGTCTTCATTCCACAAAGGTTTCTTTTATTTACTTTCTGAAAATGTTGTACTTGCTTTTTTGTGTGTGTGTAAATTCAAGCTACTAAAGCACTTAAAAATACTCGCTGAATAATAATAATAACTTCTTGTTATTCAACTTGCACACTTCCCGAGCACACGGTCGAAAACAACCAGCTCCGACTGCAGCAGTTGTTGATAACACATGTTGTGTCTTTGAGTTCAGCTCGCATGTGCTCGGCACCCACCCTCTCATATGATCACACACACACACACACACACACACACATTAATACATTTGCTCCTACAGCCGCTGAGGTTTTGCATCAAGGGCTTTAAATCACGTGCTGAAGGGCCAAATGCTTCGACAGCTGACTCCTCTGATTGGTCCGGCCTCTTCGGCAGACAGTGTGCCGATTGTAAAATGGTTAAATATATAGTTTAAAGATGTCACCAGAATGGAGACGGTTGATCATTACAATTCTAAACATCTGTGGTGACCAGGTCTATTTATTCCAGAGCTGTTTTGATGTGGTGCAGTGTTTTCTCCAGAATGTGTAAGTTCCTCGTAGGACAGCAGAATACAAACTGTGACTCGTGTCTGGTTTGGATGACGTAAAATGCTCAGACTCTCGGGCTTCTTGTGCCTGATGCCGAGGCTACCATCACTTTTTAAATCACTGTACTTTTAACTTTTCAAAATGCAGGATTTCTGTCATTTTTACTGATGTTGTATATCTCACATCAGTGCTGACTCTCTGGAGTTGTAGGGCTTCTGGTTAGAGCTACAATCCGGTCTGGACCCGCACTTTAAGTGTGTACCATTAATTAGTTTGTTTATCTTATTCTGTTGTAAAATCTCACATTTTTTTATTTTTAATTAAGCTATACCAATTCAGAACGGGAGGTTATTGATTATATAATGAGCCATTCTTACTTAAATGAAAATAAAAGTAGTTTTTCACACGTCTCTCACGTGCAGTATGTGTCTCTCTGTCTCAGCTCTGGGCGACTTTGATGAGCCCCAGCGCTCCAGTATAACCATGTTCGGAGTGCTGACCATCGCAGTGAGGATCTACCAGGATCGCTGGGGCTATGGGATCTACTCCGGACCCATCGGATCCGCTGTCTTCATCATCACTGTCAAATGGGTGAGTGGCCTTAGAAGGTCTTTGTGAGGTGGCGTTAAAGCTACGGGTGGTACTGCGGAGAAACCAGCAAGAGTTCAAAAATGATTCAACCTAAACACCAAACACAGTTTTGCCAACTCTCTTCCAATGGAAGTAGCGAGCAGCACTAGCACCAACATTCCCTAAACGTAGGGAGAAGGTTGTCAAATCGGCAACACTGACTGAAATGATCGTAATGAAATGATTTTGTTTTTGATTCAATGAGAATTTCAACAAAAATAACAAAAAAGCGTTTTACCAACCCCAGCTTTGATATAAGGTGATAGCATATTGTGAGCTCACGTGGTAAACAGATTATTAATTCTTCTCCGTCCTGGCCACATCTTTCTTCTACTCCATCTCTTCCTTATTCTCTTCCATCTCCTTCATATCATTCTTCTTTATCATCGTCTTCTTCATGCTCTCCCCCTGCGACAACTTTTACTTTTGTCCTGTCCTTTTAAAAAATATATATTTTTGAACTTTTCTCTTCTGCAATGTTCTCCCTTCTATTTTCTCCTCCTCTCCACTTTGCTTCTCTGTCCTCTTGCCAATCCAATCAATCAAATCACCCTTTTGATTTTGCTGTGTGTGTGTGTGTGTGTCTGATCTGTGGATGTCGTTGATCTGAACTCCCGCTGTCTGTAGCTGCAGAAGATGAAGCAGCTGAGGGCGGTGTACCCAGAGAAGACGGTGTACACGCAGCAAGTCGGTCCAGGCTGCTGCTTCGGCGCTCTCGCTCTGATGCTGCGTTTCTACTTTCAGGTGACTGTCGTCAAAACAAAACTAATAAATCTTATAAAATACCAAGATCTTGGCGAGGCAGAGAGATTTCTACATTCTCACTTACTTACAGGGATTATTAGCCAATCACATGTTTTCATCTGAAGCAGCTCATCTTTTGCTCTGCATTAATATACTCATATATATAAAAAGAATATCTTGATATGTTGAGATAAACTTCAACATTAATGACGTGTGCTGCGTTCTCTTGACTGCAGGAGTGGGACTACGCCTACGTCCACAGCTTCTACCATCTGTCTCTGGCCGTGTCCTTCGTCCTGCTGCTGCCAAAGAAGAATCGCTACGCTGGGACGGGACGAAACGCCGCGAAGCTCAGCTGCTTCGCTCTCTGCTGCTGCGTATGTTACGTTTAATAATTCATATGTGAGAGCAGGGCAGACTTGCATGGACTAGACAGAAAGTGAAAGTTTATATTGTTTGAAAGTGATCCTTATGTCGCCCTAACCCTGCTTCCTAACTGTCCCCTCTCCAGTCCATTTCCCCCGGTTCTGTCAAAGAGAAGACAGTCAAGTCGGCAAAGAAGAAGAAGAACAAGTTGTCTCGGACCGTGTGGACGGTCCCAACCGAGCGCTGCAGCACCCCCATCCTGCCCGTTTACACCCCCCCACCCTCCACGCCTGTCAAAGGCACGAGCATCAGCAAGCTCAAAGAGATGAACGGCTGGAAGTGAACGCCGGAGACACGACTGTCAGCCGGTCCGGCGTTAGGAGGACTTCATCCTGAAGAACAGGTGTAGATAGTGGTTCTGGGGAAACTCACCAAATAACTGTCAGCCAAATATTGATAAACTTGTTCGTGGCTGGTAAGTTAATCTTCTTCTGCAGGAAACCAACCATCATGTGGACGTTCCTTTCTACTCCAAAGAAAAACAACACACATTTTTGGCTGGTAGAATATTTAAGGTCAGCAGCGACTTCAGGAATCTGTTAGCCACTGTAGCTCGTAGCAGGTAAAGAAACAAAACGTGCCCTGATGTGGTCGTCAAATTTGAGGACAAGAACAACAAAAGGCCTCCGGTGCCCTCAAAGACCCGACAGGAACGCAGCTGTCCCGACGCCGAGGACACACACAGCAGCGGACGGCGGAGACGGTGGCTGAGACAAGCCAGTAAAACTGACTGGGAAAATTTACGAGAAGAACAAACAGGCAGATGGTTTATCTCTCCAAAATATATAAATTGTCTTTAGAAATGTTCCTCGGGGGAGACCCTTCGTCTGCTCCCTCCTCTTTCTCTTTCCCGTCTCTCTCAGGCAAAGGAAGCACACGGCTGAATTCGTTTATGAGAAAATTACAGGACTGTAAAGCACATTTTACGACTTTTGTATGCGTCTTCGTGGTGCCAAATGTGTCATGTGGGGAGCATCTGATGTTGGAGCGGCGGCCCCAGACGTCAGTCTGTAACCCCGAGTGAAGCATCTCGATGTGTTTCTGGATCAGCAGGTGGACGTCTCTGTCTGTTCACTCCGGTTCACTGACCGAGCAGCTTTGGCTATGACTTCTGTCCCTGGTGTGCACTGTTGTAATGCTTTTATCAATGTATTCTTATTTATTGCACTACGGAAGATTGTATATTCAGTGTAGCTGTGTATGTTTTTTGATAATTTTGTAATATTTCAAAAAATAAAATGAAATGTCGTGACCTTGTTTTTAACTGGTCTTTGGGGACAAGGATGGAATTTTGACAGCCTCAACCGTCCGCGTCATTATTATAATGCATTGATATGTACTCTGCAGGAGCAGGAAGAAAACCTGACTGCCACATACTTCAAGGCCCGCTCCGGCAGAGAAACGCTAATTCAATTCCAAACCCAAGTATCCCGTTCCACTTTCACTTCAGGAGAACGGGGATTTGTGCGTCCACGCACGTCACCTGCCCCCGAACACGACCCAAAGACTACAAACGTGTTCTGCGTGTCTTAGACAAAACAGTCTGCGGCCAAAACGTGAATGAACCTTCCCCTCCATCTCCCTCTCCACCGGGGGAATGTTTTGAGCTGGGGGGGGCCAAGCCGTCAGCTCCTGTGCCCAGAGAAAGGTGTTTTTGTCTGTGCTCAGAAAGTTGGCGTGCTGAGCCTCAGCTACCACCCGGCTGGCTGCGCTTCCTGGCCCTGACAGGACGGTAACTCGAGCTTTTTATTGCACAAGTGTGAAACACTTTTCAGCTCCTTTACGACCACTGTCTGTCCCGCACTGCTCTGCTGAGGGGCTGCAGCCCACACACATCCAGGGCTGTATCAATACACTTGTGAAGACTTTCTTCTGTGTGTATTCCCGGACCTTTAACAGTACACTTACCCAAATGAAGTACACCAATCAAATCCGAATCGTGGACCCTAAATTCAAAACTTGTGAGGACCTTTTAACGGAATGACACGTAGTCCCCACAAGAACCGAAGCACAGAATCACACACACACACACACACACACACACCTGAACCAGGGCCTGTCTGCACCGCTCAGCAGACATTGACAGTGTCAACACAAGAAGCGTTTGATTGACACGAGTGCGAGCGCGGTCGTCTCCTCCGTGGTCGTCTGCACCCCTCATTCCACGGCGGCGAGGAATTTTAGTCGGTATTCGAAATATAATAAAGAAACACATCTGAACAAATAATAAAAAAATATATATATATGTGACTTCTGCACCAGGAAAGAGCTTCTTTTTTTTCCGCAAAGACAGACTCTGGTATGTTCAGCATGCATGAGGTGAGGGTCCGTTCTCTGGAGAGGCAGCAGCAGCCCGTGTGCCACACGTCCTTTCTCTGTGTCAGCTGACTCTCAGAGAGCAACACGTCTTCACTGCTGGTGCTGATCACCGGGGACACAAACAGATGCACTACGTCTGCTTAGGGAAGATATACTAGATTTATTGGATGGAAAAATGGACTAAATAAGAATAAAATGAAGGGGGGGGGCACAGCTCACTTTCCCAGAATGCATTGCTCATCATGCCACAGTGGAAAAAGGTACCTCACTACACTCTAACCCAGGGTGCCCAAAATGGGGCCTGTGGGCCAAATGTGGCCACCCAAAAGATGTGATTTGGTTTCTAGTGGGAATAAATAAATACAATTAATAAAAATAACTAATTGTTGTTCATGCCATTTAAATTGTTTTGTAACATAAAAAAACGTCCTCAATTTAAATACAGTATGTAGGATCCCAAAACTATTAATGAGTTATCATAATCTGAGCAGAGTGACACTTTACACAAGAAGCAGTCAGAGACAGAGACACACGCACATAAAGCATTTTAATTGAGGGGACTGACCTCCTACTATATTGTGTCTGAACACAATAAAATAAAAGTTTGCTTTTGACCCGTGGCCCAAGATTAAGATTAAGATTCAGCCCACCAAGAAGAAACCACACGGACGAACAATGCACCGTGAAGATCCTCAGACAGTGTGTGTGTCTCTACCACATAATTCACTATGATTATTATTACATCTGCTCAATTAATAAAAAATACAATCTTGTGTATTATGAGGAATTGTTTGAGAAAGTCATAGTTTTTAGACCGACACACTTTGGATTTGAAGTCACAGAATGTAATGTTATTATTGTTTATGAACATACGTATTATCTTACTGCTCAAGACAGAAAGAAGGCATTCAACATCAGATGAAGACAAAGAAAACACAGAGGAGTAGAAAACTGTGAGAGTGGAAACATGATCCTTCATTTGGTCTTGAGATTCATCCTCAGCTACACAATGTAGACGAAGGTCCAGAGCCAGAACCCAGACACGTAAATCTCACGTCACGTATAAAACATGATGCTACCAGTCAAGCTCAGAAACACTGGCATGCTAAAAGTGTGCCTCTGCTGCCCCCTACTGGACAGCAGTATATAATAACATGCTGATTACAGGATCATTTGCTCTGCTCTCGTTTCTACGTGATGGAATGTAAGATTATGGAGGTGTGACATGTTTATTTGTTATTGTTTGTTAATTTAAAAGAGTTTCTCTCGACTGTTTAAACATAAGTTGGATTGATTGAAAGGACCGTAGTTGGTGTTCTAGGTGTTGTAGTTTTTCTTCAGTTTAAAAGTTATTGTTAAAAGTGATTCACAATGTGTACAGCGATAGTTGAAGCACAGCACATGACCGCTGGGATCGTTTACATTCGAGACAAAGAGTCAGAAACACAGACAGCAGATGAATCAACATTTATAACTGATAACTCCTAAAGGATGGAGCTTTATATCTAAATAGACTTTTTGAATTTCACTTGCTATGATCTGTTTGTAGCCCTCCTGCTGTGATCAGCTTTGATTCTCCCTTCAGTAGCCGCAGAAGGCTCTTCCCGGTTATCTGCGTCTCCTTCAGCTCCTCTCCTGCTACAGACGGGTCTTCTGGTTGGCTCGCCGTGTTCTCATTGGTCAGAGTCATCTTTAGGAGATCCTCGCTCAGTCTGAGAACAAACAGAAACACAACACACACTGCTGGTTACACACAGAGCAGTATCTCTATGCAATGACAATGAGCTGAGTACGGAAGCCCTGAGAGGCAAGTGAGAAAAAAAAAATGTATTTATATATATATATTTTTTTTAAATGACCAGGATAATAGTTAAGAGTTCCTTAAATTATTTAGCAAAATACCCATTTACACAAGGCTGAAGTGTGACAACATGATGTGGAAGTAAATAAGTGAGGTCGTAGCTGATCGGTTGGCACCAGCAGAGAACATGTTGCACTCGTTCCCAGGTATGGAAGCAATATCATTCCATTTAAAGTTGCACTCCATTTGTCTCCCAGTGATTTGTGGACTGGCGTTTTGAAGCCTTGAGTTCGCCGATTTCAACGTCGCCATCTTGATTGACGGCTGTCGCCATGTTGTTTTTCTCGCAACCAATGAACGTAAGTGACCACATCTGGACTGAGGAGGAGTGACGTAGAGACGGCGCATACGTCTCTGGTAGAGACCTGTCAATTACTGTGTAGTCCCGCCCTAAAGCATCCCCTGCTTTATGGTCTGTGTG